TTCTTTTTTTTTTTAAAGATTTATTTTTATTATTTTTTATTGGAAACGCGGATATACAGAGAGGAGAGACAGAGAGGAAGATCTTCCGTCTGATGATTCACTCCACAAGTGAGCGCAACGGGCCGATACTATGCCGGTCCGAAGCCAGGAGCCTCTTCCGGGTCTCCCACGCGGGTGCAGGGTCCCAAAGCTTTGGGCCGTCCTCGACTGCCTTCCCGGGCCACAGGCAGGGAGCTGGAAGGGAAGCGGGGCTGCCGGGATTAGAACCGGCGCCCATATGGGATCCCGGGCGTGCAAGGCGAGGACTTAACCACTTGCGCCACGGCGCCGGGCCCTGTTGGATCAATTTCTTTGTTCAGATTATCTTCCATATGTCTAAATCAATTGTGTTCTTGAATTGGTTAGCTTACAGATCTGATGTTGTTTCTTCTGTAGCATCCATTCTGTTGATGAATCCTTCTGTTGTGTACTTTAGCTCAAGTATTTCAGTTTGGACTTGTTATATAGATTTTATCTCTGTGGTGATATATTCTTTAAATGTGTTGGATTCTTGGCATCTCTTCTTGTTGTCTCTGAAGTGTTTTATGATTTTTTTTTAATTTCCTGTCTGTTAGCTCCTCAATGTGTCAAGACTACAGCCTTAAGATTGATGTGATCAATCTAGGATTGATGTGATCTTTTGTTCATTTTTGAAGAAATTACTAGCTTCCTCATTTATGTTAATTCGTGTTTTTCTGATTTCTTTCCCTGCGGCCTTTTGGATATGTGGGTTTTCTTGTTTCTTCCTGTTGGCCTTCAATCTCTAGTGTTTGACTTTTCTGGGGCACCTCTTGCAGTTCATAGAGGCTACTGAGGCATAGGAACACTTGCTGTGCACCTGCTTGGGGAAGGTCCCTCTCTGACTTGGCTTTTTCAGATGGCAGATTGGGCGTGCAGATCTGAGCTGATTGGGTAAGTGCCTACAGCTGTGGCTTTGTGTGACCTGCTTTGTGAGCGGCAGATTTCTGTGACTGGGAATTCCCACTCTCCTGCTATTTATGTCTGGGTCCAGACTCTGCCCTCAGGGATCCTGTGTCTCCCCCTCAGATGGTTCTGGTATCTCTCTGGGGGTTCAGAACACAAACCCTTCAGGCATGCGCAGACTCAGTTCTCACTTTGCATCCTCCTGTCTCAAATTGTCCACTCCCCAGCTGCTCCCTCCCCAAAGGCATGGCCTCCTTGATCAAGGGAATGCCTGCTTTGGTGTCTGTGGGTTATTCCTCAGGTTTGCCTTCCTTCATCAGTTGTTTGTCCTATGAGTTTCCCTGCCTCCCACTGTCTCCTTGGGCAGGCTCCTGCCAGGGATTTCCCTATGCTGGTTCAAAACTCACCAAGCTTTTGTCTGTGGCCCAGAGTGCCCTCTGTGTTCACCATCCTAGGCTCCCTGCTGCAATTAAAAATGTTTTCAGGAGCTCTTCCTTGCCCATGTAGCTCCCACCTCCCTCAGGTGGACTCCAGTGAGTCTTGGTTACCTCACCCAATGATTTCGCTCCTCCAGCTCTCTGCTCCGCTGTATCCTGTCCCACAGTTTTTTGCACTCTTAGCTACACCTGGCTTCCACGATTGGCCATCTTGTTGAGCCTTCAACGACTTTCAAGCATTAATTTACTTATATTTTATGCATTAGCAGCATAAATTCCTTGATTCCACATGGATAACAAGTTCTGCTTACATTTCTGTTGAACAGGAAAACATTCATTATGCCTTGATATCCTCAGCAGCTTTGTGAAAAAGTAACTGACCAATAACCGATGATTCAACTTCTGATGTCTCTTTTCTTTTCTGTTCTTCTATATTCCTATGCTTATAAAAAAGCAGGAATGTGCAACCATGGCAGAAGTCACCAAACCAGGCCTCTTTTGTTGTAAAAAAAAAGATTTCATTAGACACAAGAACACCTATTTGCTTTCCTTTTGTCTACATGGCTTTCATGCTGTTAAAGCGGAATGAAAAAGTGCAATCGAACATATACCAACAACCCCAAAGATTTATCCTTTTTTTTTTTTTTAAGAAAATGATATGTATCCACCAGAGCAGTTGCGAAGCTAACCGAGACATTCATATCCTGTTTCCAAGTACCTGGAGTCAAGCTCTGTCTTGGTTCTCACTTCCAGTACTCCCCAGGAAGCAGCAGTTGGTGGCTCTAATGGATCCTTACACTCATACACAAAACATACATTGAATTTCTGGCGCTGGGTTTAACCTGATCTAGACCCAAAGTGTATAGGCATTTAGGGGGCTAAGCAGGCATTTAGAGGGCTGTCTGTTACTCTCTTTTCCATACAAAATAGTAACATGAAAAGAAATGGTGAAGTATTCCTTCTTGTTCTGTGTTGGCTTTTGGAAGTTGTGTGTGGTTTTTTTTTTTTTTTTCATTCTCTTAGGATCTTTGAATTTGACAACTCAAGTTTATTCCTGGAAAAAAAATACTTTCTAAGAGTTTAAATGTCTGCAAATCAAATTTTGAAAACATGCTCATATTCACAAGGAGCTTTCTTTTGCTTCCTGTGGTTTTACTAATCCCTCTTATTGATCATGGTAGCTTTGGATGAGATTCTTTAGAGTTTGCTAGGTGCAGAGGTAAGTAATCTAAACATGAATATGGTCCTTTCCTCCCTAGGATAATGCCTGTCTATAATAATAACAACAATGATGACAACTACAGTAACAGCAATAATAATAATAATTCAATTTTTCTGGTTGCACTGATAAATGGAGAAGAAGAAGGCATACATCCTTCATGGGTGTTCCTTTTGTGTTAAAGATTTATTTACTTTAGTTGAAACTGTTAGACAGAGAGAGGAGAGAGGAAGAGAGAAAGAGAGACCATCTTCAACCAGCTGATTCACTTTCCAAAGGACCAGAATCTTCAGTTAGGCCAGTCTGAAACTAGAGCCTACAGTTTTTTCCAGGTCTCTCAAGTGGGCACAGGAGTTGAAGGTCATGGACCATGATACATTGTTTTTCCAAGGTCATCAACAGAGAGTTGAACTGGAAGCATAACAACCAGACTAGAAAACTGCTTGTATGGGATTTTGGCACTTCAGGCAGAAGAGTTATCTATTATGCCACTGCACCACTCGTTTCCATAACATGTGCAAAATTTTACCAAATGCTTTTTCTTAAGCTGTTGTTTATGGGCCGCATAAATCTATGAAATTAAGTGGTTGAGTGTAAATCCTAGACTGGTTGACCATCAACACCAATCTTGTGGAGAACATTAATCTTGCTTGTGCCCCAGCAGAAGATCACAGCAGAAATAATAGCTTTGGAGTGGATCACCACAATTATAACTAAGAAATTAAGACTCAGCAAACTTCATAATCAGTAAGCAGATTTTATAATCAGTTCTGAGATCTCAGGTAAATGGGTTGGGCCAGCATTGTGCCACATCAGATGAAGCCATACTCTTTGATGCTAGTTCCCCACTAGGCACTGGGTTCAGTCTTAGCTGCTTCATTTCTAATCCAACTACTTGCCAATGCACCTTAGATGGAGGTGGAAGATGACTCAAGTGCTCAGGCTCCTGCCAATATATTGCAGAATCAGACAGAATTATAGACTCCTGGTACCTGCCTGGGCCAGCCTGGACTTGTGCAGCCATTTGGGAGTGACCCAGTGAATGAAAGATCTCTCTGTATTTCTCCCTCCATCTTTTCTTGTCATGCATTTGTTTAAATAAACAAACTTTCAGAAAATAGAATCATGATGCTGAAGCAGTTTTTCTAATGACATGGAAGGACATAGACATGGGTTTCATAATGCGATCATAATGTGATTAGCACAAACTCAGTGATTCGTGGAAATGGTCCAGGCAAAGCAAAAGCAGGTTGATTAGAAGCAAAGGTTATGGTACTGCTTTTATTTGAGTATTGTAATATAGTTTGTTTGCAGGGGTTTTTTTTGGGGGGGGTGGTGGCGTTAGGCGGGTAGAGCATGATTGAGAATTAAGAAATAGCCAAACGTTAACAGACAGATGCCCAACTATCTTCACATGAGAGATCTGCTCCGTCAGCATAGACCTCCGGTTCGTGTGTGTGTAGATGCGTGAATGCGTATAAATCCTATATTGTTAGAATATTCTTCCTTTTAAGAAAGCCATCTATTGTTAAATCCATATTTATTAGTAGATATGTGAAAATCATCAAAGTAAAATCTCCGAAATTCTAGAAAATGTTTTAGACAACATTTTTCAGCTTTTGACTCTAGTACTTTTTTTCCAAAGACCATTTTGTTTCAAGGAAAATGGAGCAATAACTAGGAAATTTGGAAACCATGTTTTAATAACACACACATTCAATGAAAACAACTATGGAAATACATATATATAGAATCTATTCAATAAAGAAAGTATTAAAACCACAAGGACCCTGATGATTTTTACATTATTTGTGTTTCTGTGGATATATTTTTGCCTTAAATTTTATTTATAACTTTATTTATGAAAGAATGACAGAGAGGGAGACAAAGACTTGCACACATATTTAGAAAGGGTAAAAAAAGAATAAGAGTGTAAGAAAGAGAGATTGGGAGAGAGATGTTGGTTGGTTCACTCCCCACTCATTCAGAGCAGCCAGAGCAGAGGCAGGTTGGCTTCAATGTGCATCAACTCTTTCCATGTTCCCAATCTGTGGCAAGACACACGTGGGGCCTCATCTGTTACCCTCTCAAAGACATTGGCGGGAAGCTGGATAGGAAGCAGGATTTGAACCCAGGTATTCCCACAATGAGATGCAGACTTACTAAATGGTGAGCTAATCCAGAGTTGACACAAAACTCACACCAGGATGTCTTACATTTTCTAGCTATCTTAATTAGCTTATTTAAAGCAACAATGCAGTGTAAGAGAGAATTAAGCAACATCTGTTTCAATTTGTTTCCCATGTATGTCAGATTTCAAATAAATATAGATCTTTCCTCAAAAATGACATAAACAAAGACATTGTAAAAACCTCACTCACCTCGGATTTGTCCAGAATCTTGTAGAAATTGCTTGCATATTGAGTCAAATGTTGATTTTGTTGTAAAGGTAGATAATCAATTTTACTAGTATTTGCTTGAAATATGATATGTTCATTATCAGATGAAGTTGCCAATGGTTCAATTATGTAAGTGACATTCTCAAACATCAATATTCCTCTAAATGTCAAAAGACAGAAAAGAACTTTTATAAGGATTTATTTTTTTCTATGACACAAATTTACATATATGGGGGAATCATCTTCCCTCTTTCTGTTCCCCACCCCCTCCCTTCTAGTATTCATACTTGTTGTGTGTGTGTGTGTGTGTGTGTAGTTGTCGAATATCAGAAAGAACATGTGCTATTCGTCTTTTTGGGACTGACTTATTTCACTAAGCATAGTGGTGTCCAGCTGGATTCTTTTTGTTACAAATGATAAGAATTCGTTGTTTCTAATGACTGAGTAGTTTTTCACGAAGCAAATACAGCATTTTAATCCATTCATCTATTGATAGGCATCTGGGTTATTTTGACAAAATATTGTGAACCGTGCTGCTATAAACAGAGGTTGCAGGTACCTCTCTCACAAGCAGATTTCAATTCATTTGCCTGTATTCATGAGAGCTGGATGTCTGGATCATATGGTAAATTTATTTCTAGCTATCTGAAAAATTTTTGTACTTACTTATACAACAGTTGCACTAGTTTACATTACTGCCAATGATGGGTTAGGATATTTCCCCTACATTTTTACTATCAATTATTATTTGTTTTCTGCATGCCATCTTCATTGAAGTTGGGTGGAATTTCATTGTGGTTTTTATTTGTATTTCCTAGTGAACCTGAGGATTCCTTAGCCCATTTCCTCACTGGGTTATTTGTTTTGTGGTTGTTGAGTTTCCGGCTCCTAGGTACTAGTTCTGTATTTGTTGTGCAGATTGAGAATGTTATGTCCAGCATGCCCAACTGGAGTGACACCCTAGGCTGACACCCTGGACCCCAAACTAGAGCACTGACCTGAGTACCCATCAAGTAGCACACATTGCCAGACTCTCACTAAAGGATTAATTACATGGTTAAAATTACATTGACACAGCCCAAAGATAAAATTAGTTGGAGGAGAAGATAACTAATTCATACTGCAATGTCCAAAGCTAAAAGAAGATGCTGAAGCAGCAAAAATAAAACCAACATGTTGCTCTCCTAAAGCAGCATAAAATTATTCCAGTCTTAAACTGGATGATAAAGACAACAAGGAATTGTGAAATAAAGGATTAAAAATTAATGTATTGTAACAATTTTCTGAAACAAATTAGCAAAGTAGCAAATGCAGGAATTAAGAAATGCCTTACAAGAAATGAAGGAGGGCCCAGAGCGATAGCATTGTCATTAAGGTCCTCGCCTTGCATGCCCAGGATCCCATATGGGTGCAGGTTCTAATCCCAGCAGCCCTGGTTCCCATCCAGATCCCGGCTGGTGCCCTGAGAAAGCAGTTGAGGACAGCCCAAAGCCTTGGGCGCCTGCACCCATGTGGGAGACCCCAAAGAAGCTCCTGGCTCCTGGCTGCAGATTGGCTCAGCTCCAGCCATTGTGGTCACTTGGAGCGGGGGCGGCAGTGGGGGGAGGGGAAAGATCGGACAAAAGAACTTCCTCTCTGTCTCTCCTCTCTGTATATCTGACTTTGCAATAAAAATTAAAAATCTTTTTAAAAAAGAAATGAAGAAATCTTTCTAGAACAAGATATAAACCACTGCTATGAAATCACAGTGGATTATCAGAAATGAAGAATTCAGTATCACAAATGGAAAAAAAATGCAATAGAAACCCCAAAGAAGCTTTTAGAAGACTCTATTAACTAGAAAACAAATTTTTTATTGTATAAATTTTTTATTGTATAAATTTTACTTTTGATGCTTTTTGCATACTTGATTAGAGTGCAAAAGGTCAAGGGCTTTAGGAAAGTGGGTGTGACCATTGTTTTCACATTCTCCTTTTTCCTTCCTGTATCTGGGCAGAGAGGAGAGTTAAAGGGAGAAGCCACACTCAGCCTCCCAACCATCCCAGGGTCCCAATATGGGACATGCTCAGAGGGTCCTGCTCAAGTGGCTTTCATAGTTCAACAATTCTGTATTGCTGCCAGTGTTGCCACTCCAATCACGACGGAATCTCTCCAGACTTAACTAGCCGACATAATCCACCTTAGAGTCTCCGTTTGCCCAGGTATTCACTGCCAACACTTGGCTGGGATAGGTGATTCATTTGTTCTGTCCTCCATCCTCAGTTACGGTACCAGGTATCATCTGCAGGCTCCAGTGAACTGCCACATCCTCCATGCGCATCTGGATATGCTGTCCACTACTCCACCTAAGCCACCGAGGAGGCCAAGCTCTGACTCATGCATTCCATGGTTAGACTAAGGAACCCGTAATTTCCTCCATGTCTAAAGTTCTGAGTTTAGTGGTTCAGGTGGGGGGAGCCCCACAGAAACTTCATCTGAAGTGATCCCAGACCTGATTTTTGTGTGTGGATTTAGTACAGTTTGTCGCCCACATCAGGCTATGCACACACTGTTAGTTGCAAGTGCTGGGTCAGTTCTATCTCCAGCCCTGCCAAAGACAATTCTTAAAGAAAAATACAGTCTGAGAAAAAAAAAAACTGAAAGAACTGACTAAAAGCAAAAAAAAACTGTACAGGAATTATGTGATACCATCAGACAACCAAACATATGATTTAAAGCAGGCAAAAAGAGAATGCATTTAAAGGTATATTCAATGAATTTTCTGAAAATTATCCCAATGACTCTTTCTGTAGATTAGGGAAATTTTCCTTTATTATTTCATTAAATACAATTTTAAACCCAGCTTCTCTTTCTGCACCTTCTACAACTCCCATAACTCTTATATTTGGCCTTTTAATATTGTCTTTCAATTCTTAAAAAAAATTTTGGCCTGATCCAGCTGTGCTTGCAGCTTTTTGTTTGTTTCTCCCAGGTGACAGGAAATATCTTCTAATTTTGAGATTCTTTCTTCTGCTTCCTTCATTCTACTTTGGAGACTCTCCATGTACTTTTAGTTTGCTCCACTGTATTCTTCATTTTTGATATATCAGCTTTCATTTGATTCCATTTCTAGTGTGATATATTCCTTGAATTCCTTAAATGCCTGGTTTACGTGCTTCTTGTTGATAAGAAGTTTTATAACAAGTGTTTTCAATTCTGAATCCCCCATTTTCTCTAAGTCTTCCTCAGTTAACTCTGAAGTAGGCAAAGGGTTTTGCTCCTTTGCAGGGGAGTTTTCAGTAATATTCATTGTGCCTTTGTTTCTTCTTTTACTCTTGGTCATTGTACTTCTGGTTAGCAGAGTCTTTTCCTTGGGGTTTCTAAGCTGCGTCATCCACAAGTCTACAGTTTGATTTTACTTCTTGCATTAGGCACACAGCACTTTGCTTGCATTCACTTGTGCCACTTCCTCCAGCGAGTTCCAAGTCTGGGTTCTTATGTTAGATTTCCACCATCGTCTCCATAGCCCCAACTCCTGGCTCGCCAATCTCCACCTCCTATGATATCATGCTGAGGCTGCACCATTGTCTGCACAACCTTGGTCCCACTTCGAGTTGGAGTAGGTTCCAGGATTAGGGAGACACCAGGTATTCTATATAGCCAGGTTGTTTTGTCCCTGATCTTAACAGAACTTATTGGCCATTAGGTCTGAGAGCCACACGGATCTATTTTGACCTGTACAGTGCCATAGTCGGTATTATTTTCTTGTGGGACCGGTGCAATGTACTGAGCTCAGTGTATGGTAGCTCACTGTTGTCCCTGCAGTTTTAAATTCTTTGCCACACCTTACGAAATGGTGCCTAATGTTCCACTACTAGAGTTCTTGAACTGTTTGTGGTCAGGTCTGAGAGTTATTCAGGACTGTCTTGGGTAGAACCAGTAGGATTCCATATTTTTGCAGTTCACTGAGTCAGAAATGAGTTGACTTCCAGCCTAGTGCATTCTCAGTCCTGTCCCACATCCCTTGCTTGCTTAAATAAAACAACGCCCAATTCAGCTCTAGAGGATGGATTGGGCTATAAAATCCATTCTGTTCCCGCACTGCCTGCCTGGGATTTGCTGCTCTTTCTTTGCTCCTGGTCAAATCGAACAGACCAACAGGATAGGTAGTTCTTTGTCTGGGTTCACCTCTGAGATCCCAGTGAAAGTTCCTTCCCACCTGGTTGCTGGTGTAGTTCTGGCTGCTGGTGCAATTTAGATCATTGCTCACTGAATGCCGATGGCGTATCAGTCACTGCAACACCACACTGTTGTGTCTGGTCCTTTTCTGTATTTGTCAGTCCCCAGATTCCCATCTGGTGTTGTTCTCTCCTCTTCTATTTCCTGGAATGTGCCCTCTGTGGTTCGCACTGTGTATCGTTTCTCCATCTGTTTAAAAGTGTCCTTTTATCAAGATGGAAAACCATCTTGATTTTCAAAACATGGACTTCTATGCAACAATAGTGAGGGGAACCTCAACACTTCACTTTCATCAATGGACATATGCAGCAGACAGAAAGGCTAGAAAGAAACAGAGCTAACTTGTAGCATAAACTTCATATCTAGAGAGCATTTCATCTTACAGGCTCAGGTTGCTCATTCTTTTCATCAGTGCATGAAACATTTTCCAGAGTATATCACATAACAGACCATAAAACAAGTCTCAGCAAATTCAAAAGCAGGAATTTCAGACTGCCAGGAAATGAAGCTGCAAACTGGCAAATCAAGAAACTCCAGGAAATTTGCAAGTATTGAGGACTCAATATCACACTTTAGCACAAACAGTGCGTTATAGGAAAAGTAAGAGGAAAGTAAAAAAAAAAAATCCTGGGAATGAATAAAGATGACAATACAGTATATCAAAACTTATCCAATGAAACAAAACCAGAAGTAGAGGAAAGTTCATTGTAATTTCTTGATGCGAGAGTGTAGAAAAGGCAAAAATAAGTGATTTATCAATGCATCAGAAGGATGTATGAAAACGACAGCCAACCAAACCCCAAATAAATGGAAATAAATAAATAATTAAAATTAAATAATATGTAAAATTGAAAACATAATATCTAGCATCAATGATCAAAGAGCGGGTTATTTTAAAAAAATTAACGAAACTTCTATGCCATTTGCCCAATGAAACGAAGAAAAAAAAAAGAAGATAAAGATCCAAGCCACAAGGTGGAGGAATCCACCATGGGGGGAGGGGTATGGGAGGGGTGGGGGGAATCCCCAGCGCCTATAAAACTGTACTACATAATACAATGTAAACAACAATAAAAAAAAAAAAGATCCAAGCCAATACAGAGAGAAAATGAAAATGAAACAACAGATACCTTGGATTTGCAAAGAAACATTAGGAAGTACTATCAATAACTACATGCCGATGCATTGCAACATCTACAAGAAATCAAAACATTTCTGGGCACTTGCAATTTGACAAAACTGAATCATGAGAAGATTAAAGATCTAAAGTGACCAATGAATATTAAACAGAATAAAGATCCTCCCAACACAGAAAAGTCAAGAACTGGATGGCTTCACTGCTGAATTCTACAAAACATTTTAAGAACAAGCATCAATTCTTCACAAAGTATTCAAACTGAGATGAGGGATGTGCATAGGCTGACTTGGGTGACAGACTGTGCTGGACCCTGTACTGGCAAATGCACACACAAGAATCAGGTTTGCGATGGCCTCAGATGAGGTTTCTTGGGCGATCCACTACCAATTGAACGGCTGGACTCAGAACCCTAACCAAGGAAAGAGCTGTAGGTTCCATGAGCTGACTGTGGGAGTGGATGTGTCAGAGTTGGGCCTCCTCAGTGGCACAGACAGAGCAGCCAAAGGCATATCCAAATGCGCATGGAGCACTTGGCAGTACATCGGAGCCTACAGAGGACACTTGGAACCATGGCAGAGGATGGAGGACGGAAGATCTGGGCAGAGAGAGACACTAATGTGGACGACAGCAGCCTGTGGATTCAGGAGAGATTTCACTATGATTGTAGAAATGGGTTCACCAGGAATTCAGGACTGCTGAACTATCAAAACCTCTGAAGAGGTTCATGGTGCTGTAAATTTCTATTTTTCTTTCTATTGTTGAATATGTATTGTGGATTTTCACTTAAGAGACTATCATGTCCATATGTGAGGACGCAGTGCAGTGTGCATCTCTACTTCCAGGTCAAAGATGGACTACTAATGAAACTATTAGCTGTATCTAGACAATGTCAGGCTGGACTCTGCCATTGTCCATGCCCACAATGATGAGCAAGTGACTATTCATGAAGAGCTATGCTATAGTAATAATATAGGGGAATTTGGTGGTGGCAGGAGATATAAATAAATTAATTCATTAATTTAAAAAATGATATGAGGGGAGGCAGTCAGCCAGCAAAAGATAAAACAGAGAACTACACCAGTAGAACAACATTTCTGTGAGGAATATAGATGTAAAAATCCTCAATGAAATAGTAAGTCAGTTGATTCCGACAGCACATTGGAAAGCTCATTCACCCGGTCACGTGGGATTTACCTGTGGTATGCAGGGATGGTTCAGCACACTCAAATCAGTAAAAGTGATAGACCACATTAGCAGCTGCAGAATAAAAGCTATATGATTTTCAATAGATGCAGAGAAGGCATTTAACAAGTTTCAGCATTCCTTCATGTGAAAGATCTTAGAAAAATTAGGCATAGAAGACTCATTCTTCCCCACAATCCAGACAAGATATGGAAACCCCAATGCTAGATTCATATTGAGTGGGGGAAACCTGAGGGAGGGCATTTACACTACGATCTGGAACCAGACAAGGTGGCCAACTCTTACCACTGCTATTCAAGATGGTACTGGAACAGCCAGAGATATTTGACAAAAAAAACAAAAACAAAAACAAAAAGCAATAAATATCACACAGCAGAAAGTTAAATTATTTGTTTGCAGATGACATAATTGTCTCTAAATAGAGAACCAAAAATTCTCAATTAGCAGAACACATTCGAGTTCAGGAAGTTCACAGAATACAAAATCAGTACATGTGAATCAATGGCCTTAGTGTATACGAACAGTTCCATGGCTGAGAAAGAACTTTCAAGATAAACCCATTCACAATAACAGCAAAAACAAACAAACAAAAGAACCATCACAAAACACAAATAAAAACAACAAAAATCATAACACACATCCACTCACACACACAAAAAAACCCCATCCAAACAAACAAAAGAACCACCACTACCACCACCAACAAAAACAAGAAATAAACAGACCAAAAAAAAAAAAAAAACCTTCAAATATTTTGGAATAACGCTAACCATTGATGTGAGGGATCCCTACAGTGAAAACTACAACATGTTGAAAAAATAAAGAGAAGATGATATCGAAGCATGCAGAAATCTGCCACGTTTGTGGATTGGTAGAAAGAGCATAATCAAAATGTCCATATCACCAACATTAATCTACAGATTCAGTGTGACTACAACCAAGTTTTAAGGCATTCTTATCAGAGCCAAAAAAAAAAATGATTCGAAAATTTATATGGAAACACAAGAGACTCTGAACAGCTAAAGCAATCTAAAACAACAGAAACAAAGCTGAAGTTAATACAATACCAGATTTTAAAATGTGCTACAGGGCAGTGGTTACCAAAACAGCCTGAAACTGATTGATACAAACTGAAGATTGAAGCTCAGTGGAACAGAACATAACTTCTAGAAATGATCCAAACACCTATGACTATTTTTCCCCAAGCAAACTGAAATCAGCCCAGGGAGAAAGGATTGCTTCTTTAACAAGTGGTGCTGGAAAAACTGGATGTAGGTTTGCAGAAGAAATAAGAGCCCTGCCATTGGACTTATACATAAACCAATTCTAAATGGATCAAAAATCTAAACCTATGACCTAGCACCATTAACTTACTAAAGAAAAACACTGAGAATGTAGCATTCACTACTATCAGTGTAAACACAGTCTCCCCTCAGCTCTTTCAAAGTAGCTTACAACCAAGGTGATGCCAAAGTGGCTGTGACCCCCTACCCACACTGCTTCCAGTACCACATGCAGGAGTTCTGTATGACCATGTGCCCTGGGATACAGCTATTCACTAATAAATGTGCAGACAGACCCACATCCGCAAGATACTGAAGTGCAACTCATTTACACAGTTTCCCCAACCTTGCAGAAGACACCTTGTCCCTGAACCAGCTCTCTATGAGTTCGCTGTTTTAATTTCTTGCTTTATAGGCCGTTCTATTCCCATGTAGTGCCTGGTTCCCTCTTTGTTCTCCAATATAGACTCTAGTTCAGTGGGCATCATGGATCTATTTCTTGCCTGTCTTTTGATGGAACCCACGGGATGTTAAGTTGATGTTAACCTGTGGGATTGCATGCTCCTGATGGAACTACCAAAATCTATCATAGTACCAGATTGTGTGCAAGTCACATGGACAGCCAGCTGTGTGTTTTCCCTGAAAGGAGTGCATGCCCAGATGATTGTTTGCAATGCTCATATGGGAACACTGCTGTTGGACCCGGCCTCTGTCCCAATGGATGGCATTTGATTTAGCTACTCTGCAGCGGTACCCACTTCTGTGCCTACCTGCAGGGGCTTTCCTGCTCTGCTTAGGCTTGCGTTCGGTCATAAGATCAGCCAATCTTGTGATTCTATCACACAAACTTTCCCCTGCCCTTCTTGTGTCTCCCTTTCCCACAGATCTTTCTGTCTCCCATAGGACTCCAGTCCCAGGTGGAAAATCTAGCTAGCGCTACGGCACTTCGCTGTCTCTGCTGCTTTTCAATGTCCTTGCATCAACTCTGCTGTCACTGTGTCCACATCTGTTACTCAGCATTGAACCTCATCTGCCTCTGCCTTTCTAATCTTTTCCTTCCAGAATCGTCATGTCTTTATCATATCCAATCACCTTGGATTACCAAGAAATACAATTTTAATTAAAATAAATTTTCCTCAGTGAAAGAAAAACCAGTAGTATAAGACTATAAAATTGCACCAGTCATCTTTGCATTCCAATGCCTGATTTAACCATTCCAATTTAACCAATACATAATGCTCAAATTAACTTTCAAGTCAAATTTTATGACTGCTCTGTCTCTCATAGACTGTAGGCACAGAGTGTTTTGAATGTGAAAGTTCTTCATGCTAGAATTTTTTTTTCTTCTTAAATACTGTGCCTGAAAGGCCGTATACAGACGATGAAAAGAGAAAGAATAAGGAACAAAGGAAAAGTGTTGATTTGGATCTGTACTTCTTCTCTGAAATGTTGAGGCTCACCCCCCCGTCTCAGGACACATCTCTGAAATACATCGTTACCTGAGTCCAGAGCAGGTGTTTAGTGTCACCGATGATCTGGGAAGCTCTTTACTATGCCCTTGGTAAAAGCAGTGATCCTAAAAAAGAGGCAGGGGGAGGCACATTCATAAATAACCTATAAAGTAAGTTAGCTTTTCCCTTATTCCTTATTAGATGCCATCAAGCTTTCCAATTTAGCTATTATCATAACATTCTTCATCAGCACATTCTTTGTTATTTGACTACATTATCTTTCTCTTATCCTCTTCTGCCTATGAATAAGCGCAGTTATCCATCCACATATTTCTTGTTGAAATTTTATTTTGGGTACGCTATTTTCCTTTTGACGTTCAACTTTCTCAGGATTGATTCCCTAAATGTATAATCCACATCTTGTTAATTTTCATGAAGAGTACTCTGCTTGTCAGCCCTTGATAAATTAGGACAACTAACATCAGCAAACCTAACTTAAACTTGGGACTTGGGGTTAGCACTGCAGAGTAAGATTAAGTCTCTGCCTGCAATTCCAGTATCTGATATAAATCAGAAGTTACCCATGTGCTTGGGTCCCAACATCCATGTAGAATCCCCAGGGGAAGCTCCTGGTCCTGGCCTTGGCCTGGTACAGCCACGGAAATAATTTGGGATGAGTCATTGCAGAATCAAACTAAAAATTAATAGGGTGAAAGAACTAATTAAAATTAAAATTAGAAAAGGAATACACACATTTGAAGCAAAACAAAAAAAAGTCACAAAAATGAAAGGAATAAAGAGCTGGTGTTTGGAAAAAATTAATAGAGCTGATTCGCCATTCATTGGCGCAATCAAAACAAAGACAGAAGATCTCTTATCAATAAAATCAGAAATGAAAAAGTGAATATTACCTGAATAAAAAGAATCATTAGGAATTACTACAAACACTGTAGTCCAAAAATTGGAAACTTTAGAAGTAATAGCTAGATTTCTGCATTACAAGTTATTGTAACTGAACCATGAAGGCAGAAATTCTAAATAGACCAATCCCAAAATGAAGAACAAAGCAATAACAAAATGTGTCCCAACAAAACAAAGAGAAGCATAGGACCAGATGGCTACACTGCTAAGCTTTTACCAGATTATTCAAGAAGAACTAATTTCAATTCTTCTCAAGAGATTCAATACAAGTGAAAGGGGAGGAATCCTCCTAAATTCTTTCTGAGGTCAGATTCATCTTAATTTCAAACCTGAAAGGAAGATAAAACAAAGATAATGACACACCACTACGCTTGATGATCGTAGTATAATTGTCCTGGGTAAAACGCTAGTTAACTGTATCCAGCAGCACATCAGCAAGATCATCCATCTGGATCTAGTGGGACTTAACCCTGCTATGTAAGAATTGTTCAAAGTGTGCAAACCAATCAATATGATAGGTAATGTTACCAAGTTGAACACAAAAGAAAAAATATGATTCCCTCAGTACATACAGAGTAAGCATTTTAAAAAATGCAGGATCCTCTCACAATAAAAACTTTTTAAAGATATATTTTAGTTTTGTCGGAAAATCAGATATACAGAGAGCAGGAGAGACAGAGAGGAACATCTTCCATCCATTGGTTCACTTCCCAAGCAGTCGCAACAGCCAGAGCTGAGCCAATCTGAACCAGGAGCCTCCTAAAGGTTTTGTACATGGGTGCAGGATCCCAATGCCTTGGGTTGTCCTCAACTGTTTTCCCAGGACACAAGCAGGGAGCTGGATAGGAAGCGGGGCTGCTGGGACATGAACTGAACCTACATAAGATTCTGGCGCATGCAAGGGGAAGACGCTAGCTTCTAGGCTACTGCACGGGGCCCCCACAATAAAAATCTTAAGCAAACTGCTTATAGAAAAAACATGCCCAACATAAGTAGGGCAATACATGACAACATTGTTGTCAGCAAAAGGCTGGAGGCACATTCACTAAAATTGGAACAAAACAAAGGTGCTCACTTTCTGTTTTGCTATTTAACATAGTTTAGGATGACTTAGTCAAATCCATCGGGCAAGAAATCATAGGGACACATGTATTTTCAAAGGACACTATTCTACATAGAGGAAACCCAAAAGACTCTGCAAAGAGATGTGAAGTCATTAAGAGAGTTTGGTAAAAGTTGCAGGGCATAAAATCCACATATACAAATAATAGCATTTATGTACATTAATATTTTTATGCCTGAGAAAGAAGTTATAGGACCAGTTCCAATCATAAAAGCTACAAAGCTTCAACGATTTTTGGAATAAATTTAACCAACACCTCTATAGAGAACATTGCAACACCTAAGCAAAGAACTCAAAGAAGACACCAAATACTAAAACTTCTTCCACGATGATGGATGGAAAAATATCATCCAACTGTCCATACTACTAAAATGCTGTACAGATGCAGTGGGGTTCCAAGAAAAAATCCATTACATTTTTTTTCAGAACTACAATAAACAATGTTAAAATTCATTTGTAAACACAAGGCACTCTGAAAAGCTAAAGTGGTCTTCAAAAGCAGCCTGGGGCATCACAATAGCAGGCTTGAAGACATAGCAGAGCAGTTACAATCAAAACAGTGTGCAACAGGCAAAACATAGATTTATACACCGCTGGAAGAGAACAGAAACTCCAGAAATTAATCCACACATCCTCCACCAATAGATACTCGACGAATCTGCTAGAATCATTCCCTGGAGAAAAGACAATCTCTATCAAAAAATGATGTAGGAAAATTGGATCTTCAGATCCAAGACCTCTGCCTTACATTTTACACACAGATAAACTCAAAGGATATTAAGGATCTAAATCTTTTACATGATACCAGCGAAACACAAATGGAAAACGGGAACTATGCAAAACACTGAAATAGGCAAAGCTTCTAGGAAAAGACCCTATTAAAAAAATGGCTAATAAAAACAAAAATGGACAAAAGGGATTACATCAAGCTAACAGGTTTCTACACTACAAAAGAAACATTCAATAAAATGAGAAGGCAACTGACTTAATGGAATAAAATATTTGCAAGTTATTCCACTGATAATGGATTAATATTTAGGATCTTGAAGGAACTTAAGGAACTCAACAATCAAGCAAATAATTTAGTTAAGAAATTGGCAAAGGACATGGACATACATTTTTCTTGATTATCTAAAAAAATTATTTTTTATTGGGAAGGCAGATTTACAGAAAGAAGTAGATACAGAGAGAAAGATCTTCCATCCACTGGTTCACACCCCAAGTAGCGTCAACAGCTGGAGCTAAGCAATCCAAAGCCAGGAGCCATGAGCTTCTTCTAGGTTTTTCACATGGGTGACGGTCCCGAGGCTTTAGGCCATGACTGCTTTCCCAGACTACAAGCAGGGAGCTGGAGGGAAGCAGAGCAGCTGGGACATGAAGTGGCATGCATATGCGATCCTGGTGCATGCAAGGCGAGGATTTAACCACTAGGCAACCAAACATACATTTTTCAAAGGATGAATAAAAATGAACAAAAGGCACACAAAGAATGTTCAACCATTAGGGAAGTCCATGTGAAAACCACATTGAGATTACAGCTGACTTCATCTTAGACGAAGGATTGGCCAACCATGCCATGGCACCATACCAGATTTTCTTTACCCAGTCATCTTTTTGATGGTTTGTTCAATTGATTCCTTATCTGATGACATGTGCATTTAATTGCAACAAACATGGGGATACAAATAACTCATGCACTAACATTTCTTTTTGATAATTGCAAGGGTGGGATCCCTTGGTAAATCCCTATGGTAAATCTATTTTCAGATGTCTCAGGAATCTCCATATTGACTTCCATAATGATAGATTACCTCTGCATCAGCAGTTGAAAATTCTATCCCCCCACCAGCTTGTTAGAATTTATGTTTTTATCTTTCATAACAACAAAGTTTTTTTTCAGGATTACCATTTAACATGACTTTGTGATCTCTTTGCCTAAAAATTCTGCTGACGAAAGAACTTGTCTTCTTCCCAGCCATGATTCCTTAAGCCATAACTTATTCATCAACTCAGTGATTGTAAAACTTACCAGCTTTTTTGAAGAAAGCATATTCTGTGTCCCAAATTCACTGTATGAATACATCATGAAATTAGGCGATAAAAATGACCTAGTTCAACCAAAAGAATAGTACATTTTTGTCATATCATCAATGAAAAATAATTAAAATTAAACTATATTTCTGAGCACTTTATGAACTCAACCATACAAAGAGAAAATGAACATATACTCTCATTTTCTGGATAATCTTCTACGATCAAATGGCAATTACAAGAGAAATAAAAAGCAATAAGATATAACAAGAAGCTGGTATAGATTCTGTAATGGATTCAATGAGCTCAACCAGAAACAGCTGTGTATAAAAAATAATATAGGTTCTAAACTTCAACAACAGTTCTCAGGTTAAGATAGAAATATATTACATGAGATAAAATGTTAATATTTTTTAGTTGGTCATGATGGGTTGATTACTCAAAACACATGATTGGTTTCAGAGGTTGGAAAATATAATCTATTTCAGTGCAGAAAAGTTAGAAGTGTAAGAATTTTTTCATATATGTAATTCCATCAATTTTGGAAAACCAGTTTATATATTTGTTATGTAATTATTTATAATATTATACTATGTTAAACAGGAAACAAACCTGTCAATGACTTAATAGAACACTGAGAATTTCATGCCATGTAGGAAATAAAGCCATTATTTGGGATGCTGACATTCCATATTAAAAACAAATAATTTTCCTGCTGTTTCACTTCTCTCTCTTTTGCTCTCTCATTCTCTCTCTCTTACTTTCTTCATCTCTTGCTTTATCAGTGTAACCCTTTCAAATATGTCTTTTTAATTACAATTGTGTTGAATCTTTCATTTCTTTGGACAACGTGCACATTTCTTAATGCTAATTATTCTGTTCCATGAAAAAGGAAGATTTTTGGCTTGTATCTTTTCTTTCCTTGATGTCTTACAAATTTTATCGAAAATATCCTTCACATACTTGGTTAAATTTATTCCACTGTACTTATTCTTTTAAGCTTAATGGACCACACTGGTCATACAACTTCTTTCTTAGCCATAACACTATGAATGTAAAAAAAAAAAACAAATTATATATTTCTATGTGTTGAATTTGTGCCCTGCAATTTTATAAAACTCAGTAGTAATTTCCAGTAGTTTCTTAGAGTAATCTTATGAATCCCATATATAGAATCGTGTCATCTACAACGAAGATTGATTTTTTTCCTGCCAAAGATAAATCCCTACGATTTCTTTGAGAATGTTTGCGTATAAATTAAACAGGGGAATTAATCTATTATTCACTTCATGCCCTACATTTTTAAAACTTTTGCTTATCCTTCTCAAATTTAGAAAAAAAAATACTTTTGCCATCCATATGGCATCACAAGGAGCTATGAATAGCTAAAACCATCTTAACAAAAGCAAAGCAGGATGCATCCCAATACCTGATTTCAAGAGTTACTGCAGTGCTATTATAACCAAAACAGCATGATAACGATGCAAAAACAGATGTGTACATTAATGGGATCAAACACAAACCTAATTGTGATAAGTGAGCTAACATCTCCCTGGAGAAAAGGCAACCTGTGGAACAAATGGCAATGGGAAAACTGAATCTGTGCATGCAGTACTATGAAGCAAAGCCCTATCCAACACCTGTACAAAAGGCAATTTTCAACGCATCAATGAACTTAACTCAAGACTTCAAACCATCAAACGACTAGAGGAAGATAGGGGAAAGTTTGCAGACAAAACATCAGAGAGAAAGGCACAACAATAGAATTGGATGCATGAGATTGCAGTAACCATATATGCTTCGACACAACAAAGCAAACACTTCACAGTGAGGAGGAAACTGACACAATGGGAAAAATATTTGTGAACTGGACGTATGATGAATAATTAACTCCTAGGAAATATAAGAGCTAAAAAAGTCATCCAGAATAGCACAATCAGTTAAGTAATGGACAAGGACATGAACAATTGCTGTACAAAGGCTGAAGCATAAACAAAAACAGACTACAGATTTATTTCAACAGGATCACTGGCAATGAGGGAAAGGAAAATAAGCAATGCGGTTTCATTTCATCCTAGTCGGAATACCCATCATCCGAAACTTCATAACAAGTGCTGGTAGGTATGTGGGGGAAAGGAGATGATCCATTCAGCCATGAGAAACAATGATACCCTGCCTTGTGCAACGAAGTGGATGTGAGTGCAGACCATTGGGTCTGCAATAAACACAGAAAACAAAAATCACAACTTTTCATCATTTGTGGCAGTTTGTATGTAGAATTTCCAAACAACCCAGAGCTCATATGTGATGCTCATTCTTGAAGGTGGATGACAAACACTTGAGCCAATGTACTGGCTGCCGAATTTTGCTTTCTGCACTCTGTTTTGAAGCATTAATCCTGTGATTATAAAGTAAATTAAATGTGAGATATCAGAAAAATGTAAAAGGAAGAAGGATGAAGGGAGTGATAGGGTGACAGAAGTTATCAGCATGTTCCTATAAATGAATCTAGGAGAAGATATCTTCTAGGAATACACTGTAATACACAGTTTTTAGCCCTTGCTTATACTCTTGTACACAGGTGCTCCAACTGTTTTGTATTTGTTGAAAACCATGCTTCTTGGTGAATTAAGCTAGTGAATGTACGGAAGTTCAAATTATGCATTTGCAAAACCTGATGAAGGGGAAGAGGACTGAGAAGTGTTGGGATGACAGAAAGGAAGGGCAGTGAGTGCCTTCTTGAAACTGACCTGTGCAATATGTACATCCAGTTCTGTAACAGGAGATAACAGGATATATATTTAATCTATAATAAAATATAAAATATATATAATATATAAAATATATAAAAATTATATATAAATATATATTATACATAAATATATATAAATAATATATAAATATATATAAAATAAAATCTATAAAATTAAATATATATATCTATGAGCTGGAAAACACTCTATCATTTCATAAACCAAGTGAAAATAGAGAGATTGGCTGCAGTTAGCTTTTTTGGAGCAGCTCTGAAAGCTCATGCTGGAAAGAGATGACTGTTTAAGAATTAGAAGCAAAATTAAACACTAAATAAGAATTGAGTCCTTCCTGGGTCATGCTACCTTAAAAAGAGTCTCAAAAGGCAGAGCCTCTTCAGAGAATATGCTTTTCTTGCAGCAGGAGGGAAAAAGAAATTGTAGAGTCACAAGAATTCTAAACTCTTACTTTGGTGCAATTCACTGTGAGACCTGGATGAGGATGGCCGGGAGATGGTGCTGGTTCACTCACATTTGACATGTAGCTGCATCTTTTTAAATGTTGATGCAAAATGCTTCCATGTCTTCATTTTGAAAAAAGTATTTACACTATTCTCATTATTTTCCTAGTCAACTTCTAAACAGTTTCCATAGAGAAAATAGTTAATTCTAAGACATTAGGAAAAGAATATAAAATGGACACACCTCACACACAAAACCAAAATTTTAGTCAGCACTTGGGAAAATCATTCAGGCAGAACCAAGGTACGTTGAAGAGCAGAGATTCAATGTCCAGATGTGTACTCTCTTCTCAGAAAGCAATAAAAATCATTTAAAGTATTCTTATTATACTGTGAAACGAGAATAACAGACATTGTGCCCACTAAACCATTGAAAGCATGTGAGCTGCTATTCCGTCATCTGTCAACACTATGAGTTCAATCAAGGTCACTTGCATTTGCTCTCTTCAGCTGTCAGTCGCACTCCTTCCTGAACAAGAAACCCACTTCTTGATACCAAATAAGAAGCTATATGCCAGGATGTGTCTCGCGAGCTGCCAGGGATGGTTTCTGGAAACGCCCCTGTCATCTGCACTATAGGCCATGGAAGATTGTCTCCTGAGAGACAACAGCGTGCATTTGTCATTTGCACGGCCAGTTCTGATGCACTGAATGCATTTCTGCATCGCCAGTCCTTCCGCAGCATGTTTTATGTAAAGGTGGATTGAGAAGACCAAGTTACAGAAAACTGCACGTGAGCTTAGTTGGTTTCCACGCAGATGGGAGGTAGAAAGGAGCGTAATCAGGATTCACAGTGAGGCCAGTTTTGCTTGTGTGTACTGTTTCAACAAGGCTGATGACATCATCAAGCTGTGGCTCTGGAGCTTTTCTGGCCCGGTCTCCGCAGTAATTTTGCATTTAAACCTGCAGCATGCACGCCAATGCTGAAAGCCACATAGCCGTGTCACAGGTGCATGTTGAAAATAGGGAACATGAAAAGTCTGCCTTAACCTTAAGCTGTCCCTCTATTTTAAGGATCTCTAGGAATCAATTCCAATCTATTAAACATTTCTTAATATTTGTACCCTTCATAAAATTGGCTAGAGTGTAAATTTTAGAACCTCAGGATACAGACTTCAGCTTCAATCTAACAGACATTGCAAAGAACATATGAAATAATAAACACACTGTTAATTCTTGTATGAGATGGTGGCCATAACAGGTGAAGGAAACAGGACAGGAAAACGGATACTCACTGTTTTTCAAGAAGAAGAGTGTGGAATTTGTCCCCAATCTTGAGCTTGTAGGTGACCTGAGGCAGAGTGTCCAGAGAGAAGGAATTGTTAGAAACTGCACAAGTATCTGAAAGGGCACGCCCTCTTTCAAGTTACCTCTCTTCTCTCCTGTAGTTTTCAAGATGGGCATCCCTGATGGGTGCAGACTCCAGGCACAGCTGCACCACTCCCCATCCAGCTCCTTGCTGATGCACCCAAGAAAGCAGAGAAAAATGGGGCTCAAGTGCTTCGGCTCCTGCACGCTCATGGAAGACCCAGGAGAAGCTCTTGGCTCCTGGATTCATCTTGCCACTGCTTTGGTCATTGTACCCATCTTACAAGTGAATCGTGGACAGATGTTTCTTTCTCTATAACTCTGACTTTCAAGCTAATAAATGCGTTTTCATGTTAAGAAAGTTAATCACAATTAAATAGAAGTGAGATTAAGGACTCAAATCTCTTTCAAATCCAACAGGTGCTATTCCTAGCATTTATGGTTGTGATGAGATTTGAAGGGAATGTGCAGGTCACCTAGCGAGCAATGCCTGGAAACACTTCAATTTCCTTCTTTTCTCTGCAGTTCTAGGCACAACCTACTGGAAACCAAATAAGAAAACAGATCCTCCTGGAGAAAACTGAGGCGTTGCTTCCTCCCAGAGGCTCACTCCACTGCCTGTCCTCTCTGTTCACTGAGAACCATGTCATCAGAAGAGTGCCACATCACACCGACACCAAGTTCCAGGACAGGCTGTATTTGTCAGAATGCTCATTGAAAGGAGCTTTGCAGTCACTGACAGATCTAACATGTGATTATCTTCATGATAAATAGATTTACAGATAGCCAATAAGGACTCTCTATTTGCTTTCAATTTATGTTTATCTATTAATTGTGTTGTTTGTGTTAGCTGTTGCATATTCTTAACACTCCATGAAATGTGATTTACCCAATGAAACACATATAATAATTCAAATCAAAGAGCATAAATATAGACAAACCAGTTTAAATATTTATGTGGCAAATAGCAATTGTTTGTAATTTATCAATACAATGTGATATTATAAGGCACATATACAAATTGTAATTATTAGATCAAGGTAATGGCCTCTCATCTTAGGCAGTCATCCTTTTTCCCTTTTTGCAACCTTCATGTGTTTGTTCCAGCTATTTTGAGATATGAAGGTAATTCCTACTACACCTAGTTCTTATTCTGTTCTAAAGAATATCCCAAATTTTTGCTGTCACCTAACTACCTTCTAGCTTTCATAGCTTATCCTAGGATCAGGTTTTTAGACTCTTGCACTCTAAATGTGGCAGCATGAATTGTCTGATGTTATGTGGACAACTTACTTAAAGCTATGTATTCTGGTCCCGAGTGAGAGGTATGTCCTCTTGCGTGTAGTGCATGCTTGGACTCTCTGCAAATAGGCTGGTAGTCTCCTGCATTGTGGGGAGACCCCTCAGTGGCAGCATGATGGACTTGTGAAAATCACGAAAGACACCCCTGAGACAGGAGGCGAGTGCAGAGAGGAGGGGCAACATCCTGCAGAGGGGATATCTTCATCTAATGTGGCTTTATTTATATGTTACAGTTTTTATATTTATGGACTTGTGCTATGAAATAATCCAATTTCCTATTGCTGGTTGTTGGTGTATTGCTTCTGAGCTCTTCCTATCTTTTTTTTTTTTATGCTTTCTTCTCCAGCTTTGGATTGGCATTGGATGCTGTAATAGAAAGTTATAAATTAAGCACACACATGTGTATGTGTGCACATCCTCACACATGGGCATACACATACATTTTTGTTTTGCTTTTTTGTTTTGTTTTGGCATTGGCTACCCGACAATGGTAGAATCAGTGACATCGCTTAGGATGAACACACCTAACTGCCTGGACTAGCTTCATAAATGCAAGGTCTATCCTCTTTAAAAGGAAATAGACTAAGACACAATTCATGAGAGTGATAGGAATAGTGAAAAAAAAACATGAAAAGCAGTGTAAAATGTAATGAGACGAATAGGTGCGTGTAGATGACGGTTACTCAGTGGTTAGACACCGAACAAACACTTGGAACGCCATCGCAGGGAAAGAATGGAAAGAATGGGAAATCTAGAAAATGACATATTGCAACTCATTTTCTTAAAATGAGACACCTGTCTGAGTCAACGGACAAGAAATCCGAGTATTTTATATCAATGGAAGAAGTGTGCCATTGCCACTCAGGCAACAGCCATAAAATGACCCCTGACCTGCTGCCTCACATCATAACAAGGATCAAAGTGTAAATATGAAAACTAGAATTACAAAGTTCTAGGTAGAAAATCTGTAAAACTGTTTGTAAGTACTAATATTATAACTATGTTCTTAAGATGAATAAAATGAACTAAATAGGTGATTAAATGCATGTCACAATTTATCACAAATGCAAAAATGGAAGAGAAGTGGATTGCAGTTAACACGCTGGGAGCAGCAAGAAGAACAAGTGCTTGTCAATGGCAAGTACTAACAGGCTGTTTACCAGCGGAGGTCCTCACGGACTGCTAGCACAGAGGAATACTAGTATGAATGCAGAACAGCCTTCTCAGGTTTGCGTGAGTATGGAGATGAATTCGGTATGTAAAATAGTACTTCATGAGTAAAAATGTGGAATTTATGCCATCATTATGGCAATGACAAATTCATTTCTTTATACAGGATTGGTCACAGTATTTGTAGCAAGACACTAGACATAAATTTGTTATTACATTTAGGACTACTACTATCAGATATAAATGTATAAACTACTTTTGATGTAGCACATCAAAGATTATATCGAATGAAAAAGTCAAGACACAAAATATCCTGCTACAAGGTCACATTCCTGTGAAGTTCGGGACAGCAATGTAATGAAATTGGTTATTCCATGTCAGGAAAAAGCAGTTAAGCTCTCTGCGGGACTACTGTGAGTGTACACAAGAATTTAGACACATAATAACCTGTCAGGATTGGCACCGTGGTGTGCAGGGTGTGGCATCGACAGTTGGGGAGCTAGAAATTTTTCAGAATGGATCATTTTCCTTACCTCTTGCTGGGTGTGTGGCACTGGTGACTCACTTCACCACTGAAGAATCTGCAGGAGAGCTCGCTCCATATTACAAAATGACTCCAAGATACAATATTATTGTGTTTTCAGGCGACACAATGCAACGTACGTTCTGTGTAAATGATTGTAATGCCATATTGTTTAGGGAATATGTGTAAGAAAAAAAAATGAGTCTGTAGGACTGGCTAAGTGAGGGGTTTTGGGTTTTGTTTTTCTCAGTGGTTGAGTCACGTGGGGAATTCAAGCTTTTGTCGGAAAGGTTCAAATGTCACTCTACTACACATTGTAACTAAGAGCGACTAAGTGTGACTGCAATATCAGTGTTCCTCTCACATCTCTCTTTTGGTGTTAGATCAACCCACATTGGAAAACAAAGTGTCATAGGAAGAACTGCTGGTAACTATACAAAATTAAGTGGACATCAATAAGAAATTAACAAAAACTTGGTCTCCGTAGTTAAAACTATGCTAAAAATACCAATTGAAACGTTTATGGTGATCCTACATTAATAGATGAGAAGATTGAAATAAGGTCGGTAAGGGCTTCACAAAACAGGCATCAACATTTGTTGATAATGTTAGTAAAATCAATGTAATCTTTCTGGACCAGAAAAATGAGATTACATCTCACTTTAGAAAATACATCTCTAAAGTACTTATTTTTAAATTGTGAAAAAGATTCATTTTTATCCGAAAGACAGATTTACAAAGAGAAGAAATACAGAGGAAAAGATCTTCCATCTGATGATTCGCTCAAAGACCACAAAGGCTGGAGCTGAGCTGATCTAAGGCCAGAACCCAGCATCTTCTTCTGGGTCTCCCATGGCTCTAGAGCATCTTCTACTGCTTTCCAGGATCACAAGTAGGGAACTGGATGGGAAGTGGAGCAACTGGGACAGGAACTGGCACCCAAATGGAATCCTGGTGCTCGCAAGGGAAAGATCAGCCAATGGAATAAAATGGTTTGTTCACATTTGTCAAAGGAACTTTATACAATTCCCTATACATCAAAAGTCTGATAACACAATTTTTTTTTAAATTTTATTTATTCTTATTGAAGAGTCAGATATATACAGAGAGGAGCAGAGACAGAGAGAAGTATCATCTTCCCGATATTTCACTCCCCAAGTGACTGCAATGACCTGTTCTGCGCCAATCCTGAGCCAGGAGCCAGGAGCTTTTGCCGTGTCTCCTATGTTGGTGCAGAGTCCCAAGGCTTTGGGCCGTCCTCGACTGCTTTCCCAGGCCACAAGCAGGGAGCTGGATGGGAAGTGGAGCTGCCGGGATTAGAACCGGCGCCCATATGAGATCCTGGCACATTCAAGATGAGGACTTAAGCTGCTAGGCCACGGCACCAAGCCCAATAACACAATCTTTTTTAAATCCACGTAAGTTAAAAAGCCATTTGTACTACCATGATGATTGAAATGCATGTTAGCATGTCAAGATGTTATAATTTTACATTGACTATCTTTAGAAACTAGATTTTCTTTTATTAACAACCCTCTGTACTGGTATGATTTAAAATGCACAGACTTTAACTTTTTAATTTGTTAAAATCCAGTTATTTATTTAGAATAAAGTATACCTATATGGATCTGTAAGGAAGTTACTTTAATATTGTTAGTAAAACCAGCATGCAAGGCATTGAATGACCTCAGCTATAAAGAATATGCATTTCACTGCCTGTTTTGTCAGCGACTTATCACATCGTCCCACAGGAATTTCAGGCATTTTTTTTTTTAAAAAGATGTTTTTGAATTTTACATATTTTCTTGTATTTCTTGCGACACAGGAAACATTTGCTCTCATTCAACTTATTAGAAAAAAAGATCAAAATACCGCAGGCAACATTTCGAAAAGGAGTATGTCTGCGTTAATCAGGGTCGGTTAGTCCACTAACAATAAATATACCCAAGTAAACAAGAAGAATTAAAAACATGTCTGCCTTACTTGTGTTTCTGAAACATGGCCTTGGTGGGTGCTTGTTCCAATCTTCTCCGGCACTATTATGCTTGGAAAGAGCATTTCATATCCTGCAGTGAAAGGAAACAAGTTAGCGATCTCCCAGGTTTTAGCAGCACCCGGCTTCTCTCCTTGTCCTCACCCTTCTCCACATTTGGTGAACACGCCAAGCCTACACACACACACACACACACACACACACACACACACACACACACACACACACGCAGTGTCTCATTCCAGGAGGCAGCTACCTGAGGAAAGAAAGTGATCATCCCGCTGTGCACAGCAGCACTGGGGGCTTGTTCAGGCCCAGAGGGGGAAAGCGTGAACTGTCTGCCTCCAACCTCATCCAGGCTGCCTTCTTTGGAGGGACCTACGTGTGCACTGAGCCCCGAACCACAGGCTAAGCAAGAGCCCACCCCGGCCCTGGAGCCCTGAAAGCCAACTCTGACCAGAATGCCCCACTCTTGAGAGCTGCTGGAGCTGGGAGGGCGTGTCCTGCATGAGCAGGTGGTAGAGGAAAGCACGGGGCCATTCTCAGCAGGTGTCTCCACTTACTTAGGGCCACCGATGTCAGTGGGCCCAGCCCTGAGAGGATCACCAAGAGATGTAACATTGTATTATTCTGGATGACCTGGCCACATTGCTGTCCGTTGAGGGTGTAACTCCAACAGCTCGTGACTACTGACTGCGGGACCAGCGGGAGGGGCAGGGACAGGAGGGAGGAGGCGATGGAACTGAAGCAGGACTCCGCTGCTGTTGAGACCAATGGGACCCCAGCTCTGTGTATGCCTAAAGCCAGCAGCTTGGCTCCCATACCACAAGCCTGTCATTTGAGGCGTTCCCCGGGAGCTACCGCTGCAGTGCACATCCGCTTGAAATTGCAAATTGAGCTCATGCATGAAATGCAATCAGATGTCATATTAATGGACCTGAAGCGTTATTTGTCTCCTCCAGGTCACTGGTTCAGACAGCGCTTACTTCACATGGTTCTGGGATAGTGGAGGAAAGACAGTAGTAAAGAAAAACAGACTTTTTAAAAAAGATACAAAGTTAAGCAGTGCTGCTGATTATCTAACTTAATTATTTCTATTCCTGGCTTTCAATTTTTACATCTAGGTTAGCACACACACAAACACCGTGAAAGCAAAATTCAGTATTCTGCTATAAAAAATATGATTTCTTAACCTCATCCAGATAGAAGGCCAACTATAAATGTCCGTGTTTTGTACTATTTGTTATCTCAGATCAGGCACATGAAATCACAGCTAGGAAATGACTGTATGATTCAAAGTCAATTTTTTTTACTGAGCTTGCATAGTTTTGTTTCTTAAGAAATGTGTGCTAGTGAGACTCAGAGGGAAGTTTTCACAATTAATGTGAAGTTTCCAAAACGAAAGACTGTTGTTATTGGCTAATGTTAACTGAGAAAATTTCATTCCATTATTTAATATTGATCCTGATGACTTTGTGTAGTCTACATATAGACTACACAATGTATAGAGAAAAGTTGCATATATTTTACAGGTACAGCTCTTTCTCCCTCAATCTCCTAATTCCTTCCTTATTTGGGGTGGTTTTACTTTTTGCAAAAACAATTTGAATACACTGTATAATGGTGGGCTTAATGTACCACTAACCATAATATTCAACAATAAAATGTAGAAAGACCACAGTTACACAGGAGTACAAATCAGGGTTGAAAATAATAATGAAAACATCAATATCCGTTTCATATTTATTATTAATATAGAGCAATAACATGTATTGCGTAGGTACAATATTACAATGCTAACCATTGTTCCTCTCTCACTCCATCCCTCCATTCTGCAATATCCACCCTTCATTTCTTTTCTGATGTTTAAAATTTTTGCGTAAACATACTTTTAATCCACTCTGCAAACACAGGCTTAATCCATCACTCTCCGTCATATCTAACAAGTCATATGTAACAAGAGTAGAGGTTCCCAGATGTATACAGATGTAAAAACAGCAATTGAATCCCAACATTTCTATTTTTTCTGCGCATTTTTTTACTCTTTATTAAACTACCACATATTAGAAAAACTGACATCTGCCTTCTTGGGTTTAGCTTAATTCACCAACACGATTGCTTCTAGTTGCATCTATTCTGTTGGACAAGATTTCATTCATTGTGTGTGTATGGCTGACTACTATTCGTATGCCCGTACGTGTCATACTTTGTATTTCCAGTCATGAGCTGATAGACATCTAGGCTTATTCTAAACTTAGCAATCATGTCCACTGAGTTACAGTTAATACAAGGTTGTGGTTAACTTGATTATATGCTGCTTTCATTTTGTATATTCCAAATGTGAGGAGCCCGACCACGTGATAGCTCTATTTTAAGATTTCTGAGGTGTCTCCATGCTGTCTTTCTGAATGGTTATATTATTTTATCTTCCCCCGGCAGTGCAATATGACATTTTTTGCTCCACATCCTTTCCAGCATTTATTACTTTTTAAATTTTTGGATGATATGCATCCTAACTGGTAATCAGTGAAATCCCATTTGTTTTTTTTTTTAAGATTTATTTTTATTATTTTTTCATTGGAAAGGCGGATATACAGAGAGGAGAGACAGAGAGGAAGATCTTCCGTCCGATGATTCACTCCCCAAGTGAGCGCAACGGCCGATGCTATGCCGATCTGGAGCCAGGAGCCAGGAACTTCCAGGTCTCCCACACAGGTGCAGGAACCCAAGGCCATCCTTAACTGCTTTCCCAGGCCACAAGCAGGGAGCTGGATGGGAAGCAGGGCTGCCAGGATTAGAACCGGTGCCCATATGAGATTCCGGCACGTTCAAGGTGAGGCCTTTAGCCGCTAGGCCACAGCACCGGGCCCAAGATCCAGCATTTAAGCAACAATTTCAGCATCTTGTTTCAGCCCTGTCTATTTTGTTTTGTTTTTCTTTGGTTCCTGAGCTTAACTTCTGCCATGAGTTTATGCCCCGGCAGCAGGTGTGGCAACAGCCTCTAAGTGCATTTGATAAACTACGGACATTCTCAAAGATCAGACACGTTTACCTCTGGGTGGAGCACTTCCCCTGGTAGCCAGCATATCCCAGGTATGATGAGTTTTAAAAGATATACAGAGCATTTTTACAAATACATGAAGCATGGACAATGCCCTCCATTCTTCTCTTTTTAATTTTTCAAATTTTGTTCTTATTGAAAAGGCAAATCGTATCTACAGAGAGAAGGAGAGGCAAAGATCCTCTATCCACTGGTTTATTCCCAAAATGGCCACGATGGCTGGATCCAAAATTAATACATTAAAGCCTGAAGAAATTATGTAAAATAAAAATTTAGAGTTCCAGCATAATTTTTTAATCGTTATTTATTTTTAATTATTTTCATTTTCAAAGTGGAAAAAAAAATGAATGTTTCTATATGCCCATCGGGTATACAAGAATGAGTGTTTCATAGACATTGTTAGATGGCCTCATCACTCTATCTTGAATCCTTTGAGAAAAATCCATTGTTCACCAGGCAGCAGTGAGGGGCTTAGTGCACAGAGGTAATAAGCACACACGTGGCCCTCAACGGATGGTTCAAAGTTTATTCACATCATCAGACTTTCAAAGACTGAGGGTCACATGGGCATAAGGGTGGCCGGTGTGCATCATGATATAATTTACATCGAACAGCAAAAGGGGGTTGACAAGAGGCTACAGGAGTTTTAGCACCACCCCTGCCTGGAAGCAGCTCTCCGTTTTATAATCTAAGTCTGAGAATTAAGGAATTCCTGTCCTGTGCATGTCCATATCAACTGCTCTGTGGCTCTGCTCTTAACCAATTGTCTTCGTACAATCCGTTGTATATCCCACAGTAGATATATGCTTTTTCATCTTTATCAGCAAGTCACAATGTACAAAGTTTCTGTAATAGGAATCCTAGTGGGTATGAAGTGCTATCTCACTATAGTTCCGATTTATATTCCCTAATGACCAACTATCTTCTCAATTTACTTGGTATCATTGTTTTTGTGCACGTTCTTACTGTACACATCATGTCTTTTTTGGAGGAAAATATCTTAAAGATATTCGTCAACTTTTTTTTTAGGAAGTTCTTATCAATTGTATAGACGGGTTTGTGTATTTTCCCTTTCTTCTTTTCCATCCTTTTGCAAAATACACACATTTGCTCAACTAGAGATATCTAGTAATCCTTGGAGGCTTTCTTTCTTTCTTCCTGACTCAGCTGTTTCACAGATTCTGTGTTGAAGCTCAGAAAGTTTCTTGTTCTGTTTGATCAATTTTATCCATCCTATTTTAATGTTTTCCCATAGATTTCTCAGGGACAACTTGCTTAGGGAGGTCGGTCCAGATTGATTCTGGAGCCAGAGTGAGTGAGCAAAGCTGAACAACTGCTTTCTGGTCTTACATTTGGAACATACCCTAGTTACATGCTTATGTGAGCTGTGGGAAGCTGGCCATGGTCAGTTAATGGCTTCTTCTCAGTGGGCAAAGCCACAAAGGAAGGGCCTCTAGTCGGCTTCCTGGCTTTGAACTTACATGAGCTGTGCTACACAGCTGCTTCCAGTGCAGGCTCAATCAGGCAAGGCATGGTGTACTACCCAGTTTGTCTTCCTGAGTCCGTGCTACAGGGCGCAGGCAGAAACTACTGGTAGTTCACTTGTGTGAATCAGCAGGGTATATAGGAGCAGATGCTTCGCTGGACCTGGTTGCAGGGATGGGGTTGTCAAGATAGTTCAGTGCAGTCAGAGACTGACTGGGGGAGGGCTGCATGGACTGGATTCACTCTCCAGTGGCACCCCAGAAGCCCCCTGAACTGGGTTGAGGCTTGCAAGTGCCTCTGGTATCTGTGTTATGAGTGAGAACAGCTGGGGCATTTTACTTGCCCCTCTCCCACCCACAGAGTCTCCTTGCTGAGACCTTCTCTAAAAGCAGACATTGTGGGCTTAGTCTGAGTCTGTGTAGTCATCGCACACTCCATGGTTACACTACTTAACCCCATGCTCGCCTGCAGACCCAGTCGCCAGTGTGTACGCACTTTCCTTGTGCTTCACCGCCTGACTTGGCATTGTGTTGGTGGAGATAGTCCTTGGGCCTCCTGCCTCGCATGCTTTCAGAGGCTCATTCTTCAGGTACTGACGTGGGAGTTCTGCCAACACTGGGGTTCACGGTGACAAGCCTGGCACTAGGACTGGTATGCATGCCTCAGCTCAATTCTCCCTTCCGTGCTGTGCTGCCTGGAGCTCGTAGAAAGCTGATGTCATTGACTCTTTTGTTCCTGGCACCTTCAGCACATCTGTTTGTATTGTGCTACTCCCAGGCGGTAGGGCTTCTCCCTGGCTTCCTTAGCTCTCATGAGGAAGACTGTGCATGGACAGCTGTTCAGACTGGTGTCATCTGTGAAAGACAATTCAGGGAGCATCTTACGAGGCTGCTGCCTCTCCACCGCCCTGGGTTGATCTTTTCAACCAAATCCATATGTCGTATATCCACTATTCCATCAGATACTTAGAGGAATGCCAACTCATCTTGTTGGAAAATACCTGAAAGGAATTCAAGTTAAAATCTGGATGGAGAGATGTCAGCATGCAATATAGAGTGTAAATTATAAATCACGATAGCGTTCTAATTCATTGATAGAGTTGTCGATTGCACTTCAGGAACTATCGCCAAGTGT